GTCTGTCACCTCCGCCAGTCCCCCGCTTGCCCCTCGACCCCGCGCCCCAGGCGGCTTCTCGGCCCCGCCAGCACCGCGCCCCTAGACCCCTCGACCCCGCGCAACTGGGCCGACCGACGGGGGGCGGGGTCGGCGGTGCCCAGGGGCCGTGGGGCCGACGGGGTCAACGGGTCGAGGGAACGATTGTCGATGTGCGTCGATGGTCGAGGCGCGGGGGTTGCAAGGTTCGAGGGCTGATGGCGAGGCGCGGAGGCTACACTGTTCGAGGGCTGTTGGGGTCCAGGGGGGATCCAGTGGCCCATCCTTCCGCTGCCCTCCTCCTCCTTCTGTTTCGTGTGTTGTGTTGTATTGTATTGTCGGGGCCTTAACTGCAGCATTATGTTTCGTGTGCTCTCATTCTCTCGCTTCGTCTGCTGCCCCGTCTCCTCCTCCTCCTCCTCATCCTCCTCCTCATCATCCTCCTCTGGTTCGCATGCTCCTCTTCTCCTCCTCTCGCTACGTCTGCCCCTCAAATTTCCCCTCCCCGCTTCCCCTCGCCGTTCTTCCTCAACCTTTCTCCCCCTCGCCTCGTTCTCTCTCCCGTCCGTGTCGCTGTACTTGGCGGCTCAAGCGCAATGGCAGCCGCGTGGCACGCCCTCTTGCGCCTTCCCGCGGCCCCGCCTGGGCCCCCGCGCCCCGATGCGTTGCCATTCGCGCCTGGGCTAGTTCCCTGCGCCGCGGAGGCTCGTCCGTGGTGCCCCCCCCCCCGCGCCGTTGTTGTCGAGGGCGCGGGTGGCCCCCCCTCCCATTTTGGCCCCTCCCCGCCGCGGCCGACGCCGCGGCGGGGAGGTGCCGCCCGCCACATTGGTGGAAAGGGTTCCCTGTCAGGCTCGGCGGCAATGGGGGGCCGCGAGCGCAGGGCCCATGGTGCCGCGAGGACCTCCCCGCGGCAGGTTGCGCCGCGCGGTGCAAGCACTTGCCCCTCGCCTGGGTGGACCCCGACGGCACGTGCCCCGCTCGCCGAAACGCGCCCCTCACACCCCTAGGATCCCCAAGGGTAGAGTCCCGATTGTTGCCAGTTTGTGCGAGCGCTTTCGCGCGCGCGTAGAGGTACAACCAGACCTGGTACACCGTGGAGTTGCAGGGGGAGCCCCTCATCATGGCCCCTGCGCGTTGAAGGACCAACATTTCCGCTTGGTTTCCAACTCCCCCCCCTCCCTCCTCCGAGCCCTCATCAACGTCGTCCTCATCTCCCTCCTCGCTTGTTCCCGCCCTCCCTGCCCTTCCTCATTCTCATCCGACTCCTCCTTTCCCGCTTCCCCCTCCTCTTCTTCCTCCTCCTCCTCCTCGTCCTCCTCCTCTTCCCCCCCCCCCCCCCTCCTCCGCCTCCCCCCTCCCCTCCTCCTCCTCCGAGCCCTCCTGGCGCTGGCCACGAATGCTTGCCGACTTGCCACCTATCTCGGTATCCAAGCAGAAGGGCGTTACCAAGCTAGAGAAGGTCATCGCCAGGCATGATGACGCGCTCTCCGAGGGCGTCAAGGGCTTCAAGACCATGCTTTCATCCTTGGCGAAGGCCGTGGGCACGGAGAGGTCGGGGCGCGCTGCCAGGGAGCAGAAGAAGAAGAAGAAGGACGGCGAGGCGAAGCCCAAGACCTTCACCGAGGATCTCCATCGGCGGCCCTCCAAGGCCGACATGAAGATCACGGGAGATCCCTTCTCGCAGGCAGGCGACGGCGTTGAAGCGGGCGCGCCTTTCTTCGTGAAGGACGTCCTTATCCCGTCCGCCCTACATTGCGTATTGGATGGGACTCGCGTCTTGACCTGCCCGCCCTACGGCTTCCCTAAAAAACCATGGTATGAGTATACATAGTTGCAAAAAGTGTATACCGTTGTAGGGCTTGTACATACCTGGTATATTCATACGCAAGTGTGCTCCCCGTGTGCACGCATATGCATATTTGCATGCATGACTGTAGGTGTGCGTACATATAAACATGTAGTAGTAACGTGCACGGGCGTACGCACGCACGCGTGCGCTCGCACGGCCAGTCCGACCAGCACCACGTCGCCTGGGTGTCGGGGAGCGTCCTTGGCACATGGCAGGTGCCCATCGCCGTTGTCCCATTGCGGGGGCGGAGCAAGTATTCGACATCGGCGTAGCTCTCGCACTCTCCCTCCCCCCCCCTCGCCCCTGCACCTCCCCCTCCACCTCTCTCCCCCTTCCCATCCCACCGCGCCCCCCCCCCGTCCGAGCGCAGGGCGCGGGCGAGATCCTCGCGTCGGTCGCCGAGAAGGGCACGGCTGGCCTCCTGGAGCATTGGCGTTCGAAGTCCCTCGGCGGCGGCAGGAAGCAGGCGCCCGCGCCGTCCCGGGAGGCGCCCGCGTTCCTGAAGTTGGCCGAGCCGTTCGCTGGATGGCATACAGAGTGGAAGACTGGTGCTTTTTGTTTGTTTGCAATAGTTGCCGCATGTCACCATCCCATCCACCGCTCCCCGCCCTTCCTCCTCCCCTTCACCGCCCCGCTCCCGACGTTCCGCCCCCCCGCCCTTCCCCTTCTATCCCGTCCACCCCTCCCTCCTCCGTCGCCCCGTTTCCACCTTCGCACCCTTGCCCCACGTCCAGTCTTCTCCTGACTCCTAGCCCCGCGGACGCGTTCCCCCCGCCCGCGCCTGGCCTTCTCGTGTCAACTCACTCTCGCACCACCCTGCCCGCCCCCTGGCCCTCGTCGTTTCCCAGCCCCTTCCCATTCCCCCTTCGCGCCTCGCGCGCAACACTGGCGGCCATTCCGTAGCCCCGTCTTGTCGGAAATTTGCGCCCCCCCCCCCCCCCCCGCCAGCCTCTCGCACCCTTCGCGCGCCTCACCGCCCGCGCGCAGCCGCTCGGAGGTGCACGCGCCACATTGCAGGCCTTCTGCGACAAGGTGTTTTTGACGTACGCCAGCGCCGGCAGCACCCACGCGTCGGTGGAGCCCGTCATGCTGCCGACGCTGCGCTACCTCTCCGCAGGCTCCAGGAAGCTCGCGACGCTGAGGCTGGAGGACCTCTGCGCGGCATGCGCTAACCTATGCCTCCGTCTCGTCTTCTCTGACCTTCTCACCTTTTCTCTCTCTCTCTCTCTCTCTCTCTCTCTCTCTCTCTCTCTCTCTCTCTCTCTCTCTCTCTCTCTCTCTCTCTCTCTCTCTCTCTCTCTCTCTCTCTCTCTCTCTCTCTCTCTCTCTCTCTCTCTCTCTCTCTCTCTCTCTCTCTCTCTCTCCCTCTCTCTCTCGATCTCTCTCTCTCTCTCTCTCTCTCTCTCTCTCTCTCTCTCTCTCTCTCTCTCTCTCTCTCTCTCTCTCTCCCCCCCCCCCCTCCTCGTCCTCATGATCCACCGCGTCCGCCTCGTGTTCCTCCTCCCCACCACCTCATCTGAAGTGCTCGTTCTGCATCCTGGTCGTCGTGTAAGAAACTGTGCCAGCATACCCATGTTGGCAGCAGTAGTGCCTTATATCGTGCAACCTCATGTAGCCTCCCTCGTGGGCCCCTGCGCTGTCCGCCGCCCACCCCCTCGTCCTCCTCCTCTTCCTCCCCATCTCCGCCTCTCCCTCGTCCTCCCCCCCATTCCTCCTGCCCATGTGCCTCGCTCCATGTTCCCTCTACCCCCGCCCCCTCGCTACCCCCCCTCCCCCCCCCCGCGCCGCCGCTGCCAGGACTTCTCGAACTTCGCGCTGAAGTACGGCGGGGGCGACGGCCAGGTGGCGGACTACAACAAGATCATCGTCCTCTTCAAGTCTTTCGGGGCTGGCATGGAGATCCCCGCGGACGTTCCCATCTGCGCGTTCGAGCAGGGCCCCCAGGCGGCGGGGCAAGGGCTCTCTGCAGGGGCGCTCGGGAGGCGAGGTAAGGGTGAAGGATTTGTGAGGCCTGGGTGCGGTGAATCCTGCGCTGCAGTCGTGATGCGGTTGTACTTGGCATCGTGTTTTCACTCGGTGTCGCATTGTGCTTCGGGCCCATTGGCGCCCTTCCTGGATATTTGATTCTGACTGGCGAGGGGGCCGAAGGGGGTCGGATGATTAGGGGGATGGCGAGGGGGTTGGAGGGGGGATGAGGGATGAGGGTGATTGGCGAGGGCCTCAGGGCGATGAGGTGATGAGGGAGGGGTCGGAGTCGGCCAGGGTGATTAAGGTCTCGAATGCCTCGTGGGACTCTGAACTGTTGCCCTGTCAACGCGTCCTGCTGGATGCACGGCTTGTGCGGCGTGGTGGTGGTGTCGTGTGGGAGGGCATGTCAGTGCGAGTTTAGACGGGCAGCGTGAGCGGGGCTCGGGAGATGTTGCACATCCCGCCTGGCTTCGTGGTGGCCGACAAGGTGTCGCAGACGTGCTGGGGCGTGAGGACCGCGGCTGCCCCTCAGTCGCGGCTGTCGCGCACATCCCCGTCGGCGCCCTGCCCCCCCCCCCCAAGGCGCACAGTCAACCATGATAGTAAGTATAGGGCAACTTTCCAACGTCACCCTTACATCCTTGCCCCTTCGGTATTCGGCACCCATCGGCATTATGCTGCGCTCCGCGCGGACAACGTCCACATGGCGTTCCAAGGCCCGTGCACCCTTCCCGCGCAGCCTTAATGTCCTGGTCGAGTGCACGCCGTTGAACCTGCCAGGGCCTCCCAGACACTGGAACGCAAGCGGGGCATCGCTGCAGTTGCGCCCCTTTTGTGTTCAAGTGCTTGGGCGCCCCTGTTGGGCCCCGAACTCTCGGCGCCCCAAGGGCTGCCCGCTCTTCGGCATGGCCGTCGCCCCCACCCACCCACCCCCCTCTTGTCTCGCGCGTGCGCTCGAGGATCTGCCGGCAATTTGAAGGAGGGGACGGCGTTGTCGCACGGCGTGTCGGCGCTCGCGAGCTATGCAAGGACGACGAATGTTCCGATGCAGGGCGAATGTTTGATATTTTACGACAGCCCCGAGGATTGCCGCGGCCTCAGGGCCTCTCGGGGGGGTTCGTGGGAGATGCGCGTTCGTCACCTTTGCATTGGAACGCCCCCGTAG